GAGCCATTAACTCATCACACAGCAGAGACCCGTAGACTCATCACACAGCAGAGACCCATAGACTCATCACAGCAGAGACCCATAGACTCATCACACAGCAGAAGACCCATAGACTCATCACACAGCAGAGACCCATAGACTCATCACACAGCAGAGACCCATAGACCCATCACACAGCAGAGACCCATAGGCTCATCACACAGCAGAGAGCCATAGATTCATCACACAGCAGAGACCCATAGACTCATCACACAGCAGAGACCCATAGGCTCATCACACAGCAGAGAGCCATAGACTCATCACACAGCAGAGACCCATAGACTCATCATACAGCAGAGAGCCATAGACTCATCACACAGCAGAGACCCATAGACTCATCACACAGCAGAGAGCCATAGATTCATCACACAGCAGAGACCCATAGACTCATCACACAGCAGAGACCCATAGGCTCATCACACAGCAGAGAGCCATAGACTCATCACACAGCAGAGACCCATAGACTCCTCACACAGCAGAGACCCATAGACTCATCACACAGCAGAGACCCATAGATTCATCACACAGCAGAGACCCATAGACTCATCACACACAGATACCCATAGACTCTACATACAGAGTCCCATAGACTCGTCACACAGCAGAGAGCCATAGACTCATCACACAGCAGAGACCCATAGACTCATCACACAGCAGAGACCCATAGACTCATCACACAGCAGAGACCCATAGACTCATCACACAGCAGAGACCCACAGACGCATCACACAGCAGAGACCCATAGACTCATCACACAGCAGAGAGCCATAGACTCATCACACAGCAGAGACCCACAGACTCATCACACAGCAGAGACCCATAGACTCATCACACAGCAGAAGACCCATAGACTCATCACACAGCAGAAGACCCATAGACTCATCACACAACAGAGACCCATAGACTCATCACACAGCAGACACCCATAGACTCATCACACAGCAGAGACCCATAGACTCATCACACAGCAGAGAGCCATTAACTCATCACACAGCAGAGACCCGTAGACTCATCACACAGCAGAGACCCATAGACTCATCACACAGCAGAGACCCATAGACTCATCACACAGCAGAGAGCCATAGACTCATCACACAGCAGAGACCCATAGACTCATCACACAGCAGAGAGCCATTAACTCATCACACAGCAGAGACCCGTAGACTCATCACACAGCAGAGACCCGTAGACTCATCACACAGCAGAGACCCATAGACCCATCACACAGCAGAGACCCATAGGCTCATCACACAGCAGAGAGCCATAGATTCATCACACAGCAGAGACCCATAGACTCATCACACAGCAGAGACCCATAGGCTCATCACACAGCAGAGAGCCATAGACTCATCACACAGCAGAGACCCATAGACTCATCACACAGCAGAGAGCCATAGACTCATCACACAGCAGAGACCCATAGACTCATCACACAGCAGAGAGCCATAGATTCATCACACAGCAGAGACCCATAGACTCATCACACAGCAGAGACCCATAGGCTCATCACACAGCAGAGAGCCATAGACTCATCACACAGCAGAGACCCATAGACTCCTCACACAGCAGAGACCCATAGACTCATCACACAGCAGAAACCCATAGATTCATCACACAGCAGAGACCCATAGACTCATCACACACAGATACCCATAGACTCTACATACAGAGTCCCATAGACTCGTCACACAGCAGAGAGCCATAGACTCATCACACAGCAGAGACCCATAGACTCCTCACACAGCAGAGACCCATAGACTCATCACACAGCAGAGACCCATAGACTCATCACACAGCAGAGACCCACAGACGCATCACACAGCAGAGACCCATAGACTCATCACACAGCAGAAGACCCATAGACTCATCACACAGCAGAAACCCATAGACTCATCACACAACAGAGACCCATAGACTCATCACACAGCAGAGACCCATAGACTCATCAGACAGCAGAGACCCATAGACTCATCACACAGCAGAGAGCCATAAACTCATCACACAGCAGAGACCCGTAGACTCATCACACAGCAGAGACCCATAGACTCATCACACAGCAGAGACCCATAGACTCATCACACAGCAGAGAGCCATAGACTCATCACACAGCAGAGACCCATAGACTCATCACACAGCAGAGAGCCATTAACTCATCACACAGCAGAGACCCGTAGACTCATCACACAGCAGAGACCCGTAGACTCATCACACAGCAGAGACCCATAGACCCATCACACAGCAGAGACCCATAGGCTCATCACACAGCAGAGAGCCATAGATTCATCACACAGCAGAGACCCATAGACTCATCACACAGCAGAGACCCATAGGCTCATCACACAGCAGAGAGCCATAGACTCATCACACAGCAGAGACCCATAGACTCATCACACAGCAGAGAGCCATAGACTCATCACACAGCAGAGACCCATAGACTCATCACACAGCAGAGAGCCATAGATTCATCACACAGCAGAGACCCATAGACTCATCACACAGCAGAGACCCATAGGCTCATCACACAGCAGAGAGCCATAGACTCATCACACAGCAGAGACCCATAGACTCCTCACACAGCAGAGACCCATAGACTCATCACACAGCAGAGACCCATAGATTCATCACACAGCAGAGACCCATAGACTCATCACACACAGATACCCATAGACTCTACATACAGAGTCCCATAGACTCGTCACACAGCAGAGAGCCATAGACTCATCACACAGCAGAGACCCATAGACTCCTCACACAGCAGAGACCCATAGACTCATCACACAGCAGAGACCCATAGACTCATCACACAGCAGAGACCCACAGACGCATCACACAGCAGAGACCCATAGACTCATCACACAGCAGAAGACCCATAGACTCATCACACAGCAGAAACCCATAGACTCATCACACAACAGAGACCCATAGACTCATCACACAGCAGAGACCCATAGACTCATCAGACAGCAGAGACCCATAGACTCATCACACAGCAGAGAGCCATAAACTCATCACACAGCAGAGACCCGTAGACTCATCACACAGCAGAGACCCATAGACTCATCACACAGCAGAGACCCATAGACCCATCACACAGCAGAGACCCATAGACTCATCACACAGCAGAGACCCATAGACTCATCACACAGCAGAGACCCATAGACTCATCACACAGCAGAGACCCACAGCACATCGTGCACAGTGCGATACGAGTGCCTGGATGCTACAGAGCACAAACACGAGTTACAGCTCATTAACTGAGCACACCAGTTAAGCTGGGGAAAGTGCATTAGCCGTGTGGAGTGGTCACAGTTAAACAAAAGTGCAGCACGAGTGTGCAATGAATGCGTTGTTACCCCACGTAACCCGTGCACTGCGGTTGAAATGTGCAGTGTTACGGTTCATTTAGAATCTTCATTTGAAGCTTTAGTGGTTTGTTTGCCGTGGCAGTGCGAAGTTTAGTTTGAGGTGCAGTGTTCGCCTGCGGTGTACAGTTCGTATGATAATTGGTTTTACCCTTTCTGGCATTAAAACAGTTTTGTTCGCGATGTTAAAACACCAAGCGGAGTTTTTGCACGGAATCCTGTCTGCATTGACCACACGGGTTCTTGTGGCGAACATGCACACGAAAAACACGCTCCGGTCATACATGACGCATTGTCTTTGAAACTGATTGGTCCACGGCGGAGACGGCTTTCCTTAGAGCAGAGTCTCAAACGGTGTTGGAGCGGAGGTCGCCACACGGCGAACAGGACAAGCACAATGCCACTATCGGGATATTTACCGCTTGGGGTTCAGCAGCTACATCATGGGACCAATCACTTTCAAAGACAATCCATATACAGGATGCTTCGTAAAAATGTTAACACTTAGTCGTTGTTTAAAAAGAATGGATAATACGCTATGCTCTTTTGGTTCTATTCGGTAAAGTCACGTAGGTAAAAATAAAATAACTCCCGCACAGCTTAAGGGACGCCACCTGGGCTTGGCTGTCTTCACTCCAACGCTGTCCTCTGGACAGTCCGGTCCCTTCACCTGATGAAGGCCACTTGTGTTGTGGCCGAAACGTCGTCGTGATTTTTTGTTATTTTATTTTTTACCCACGTGACTTTACCGAATGGAACCAAAGAGTGTGGATCCTTGCAGTCACGAAAGCTTCAAATCTAGAGAGGATAATACACTGTAACGTGGCAACAAATGTCACGTTCATAGCTTCAAAAAGCCTCCACTTGTTCACCACCATTGTCAACGCATGCCTTGGCATCTTCTTCAGGTGGTTTCTCGTGGTATTGTTGCAAATTCTTGGGAGCGTTAATATTCTTATTTTGAAGCACCCATGTATTACCAGAACATGTTTTGAGTGTTCACGAGCACAGCGTGTGGTTTTAATGCGGACGTGATTTCCTTGCAAAAGGTTTTTATTTTTGGTGTTTTGAACATCTGAACACAAGCTGTTCTATTTCCAGGAAGGGTAAAACTTACTCTTATATTTTTGTTACTGGCTAAGCGGGTCCCATGGTGTCCAAGTTCGTTTGTGGCGCAGCGCGCGCATTTGATTTGGAGCGCATTTGCCCGAGGTGCAGCTTGTGTGCAGTGCGCCGTTGTTCATTCACGACGAGCTGGACAGCTGCTCGAACCAGGCTGGACAAGTGCCCAATCTGACCGCCGCGACGAGGGAGATCGGGACTAGGGGCCTCGTCCCAAGTTGGCTGGTGGAGGCAGGTTCACGTGACGCTCTGGTGTGGCGGCTCCCTCCTGGGGTGATCTGTCTCTCGGGGAGAGTGGCGGGCGCACGGCGGAAGTCGCCGAAATGGGGCCGCTCATCCCCGGGAGAGGTCCACCACCACCCACCACCCCGCCCCCCCCCTCTGGAAGTGAAGGCCACCGCAAGAGCAGCAGTCAGTCTCTCTCGATGCTTTAGCTGAACCAAGTCTCCCACCCCCCCCTCTCCCCCCACACCGCAGGTGAGAGCGTGGGAAGCCTCGCTCGGTTGGCCCCCGCCGCCCCTCCCACCGGTGCCCCGTCCGTGGGGGCGGGTGCCGACGACTCGGCCGCGTTGTCCGGTCGGATTCGGGCGCCGATGAGGACCGGTCGCAAGGGCTCCGGGAGCACCGTCGACGAGTACCGCTGCTCGCGGGGGAAGATCTGCATGAAGAAGTCATGGTCGCCGGAGGCGGCCGAGGGGCCGCTCCCCGCCGAGGCGCCGGCGGCGGCGGCGGTGCCGGCGCCTCGGCGGCCCGCCGCCCGCCGGTTGCCGCTCGTGCGGCTGGAGCGCGTGCCGCTGCTGGAGCGCGCCGCCGGCGCCGGCGCCCTCTCGCCCGAGAGCTTCCGCAAATTTGTGACCGGCGAGGGCCGGCGCTGCGACGAAGGGCGGCCGCGGGACCCGGCGTCGGCAACCCTCCGCCGCTCGTTTCGGCAGGCGGGGGGCCAGGCGCCGGAGAGGATCTTGGACGACCCCGAGGAGTTGTGCCGCGGCTGGCTGCCGAAGGCCCTCGTGCCCGAGAGGGACGCCGCCGCCGGGGCCGCCGGGGCCGCCGCCTCGGCGCCCCCGGCGGCCGCGAGGGCCTCGCCGGGGGCGGACGCCGCGGCGAGGGAGACCCCTCCGGACGCGAGTCGACGGCCCCACCCGGCGCAGGAGGCCCTCGCCGTCGGCGAGAGGCGCGGCGCCGCGGCGCCGACCGCGGCCAAAGGCGGCGCTCGCGGCCAGGGCGCCGACGGGCGCGGCGCCAGGGCGGCGGCGGCGGCGCCGGCCGCCTCGGTGCCGGCGGGCGCTCCTGCGCAGGCCGCCCCCGCCCCGCCGCCGGGCCGAGCCGAGGCGGAGAACTCCTTCGCCGTGAAGGTGCGGCAAGCGCCCGACCCGGCGCTGCAGGAGAGCGTGGCGGTGCCGTTCCGCTACTCGACCTACGACCCCGTGCTGGACGTCAACCCCCGGCTGATGCGGGCGTTCGACGCCTTCCCGTACCCGACGCGGGACCGCGCCCTGCGCCTGGCGCGGCGCACCCGAGTCGCCGTGGAGAACGTGCAGGCGTGGTTCGAGGCCCAGCGCCTCAAGCACGGCATCAGCTGGACCCCGGACGAGGTGCTGGAGGCCCGGCTGCGGCTGCGCAGCAGCGACGCCGTCGACAGCGACGACGACGTGGCGGAGGCGGACGAGGGCGGCTCGGGGTGGCCCAGCGGCTTCGGCGCGGGCGCGAGGACCGCGGCGGCGACGGCGGCGACGACGAGAGGCGACGACGGCAGAAGCGACCCCGGTGGCCGCGGCCGACGCGACGACGCCGTCGAAGGCGGTCGCGCGGGACCTCGGCACCACGCGGAGCCGACCGCGAGGCACGCGCCCGAGGCGGGCGGCGGCGGCGGCGGCGGCGGCGGCGACGACGGCGGCGGTGACGTCTCGCACGTGCCGGAGCGTGTCCAGGTTCCGGAGCGTCCCGAGGTGCTGGAGCCCGGCGAGATTCTGGATCTCAGGGAGGTCGTGCGGCGAGGCGACGCGCCGGAGACGCAGGAGGCCTCGCTGCCCACGCACGTCCACATGGCGCTGTGGGCCAGCTTCCACGAGTCGCCGTTCCCGTCGGCCGACAGGCTGGAGCGCCTGTGCACGGAGACGGGGCTGACGCTCAAAACGGTGCAGCAGTGGTTTGAGATCTGGCGGTCGGCCGGCCGCCTGCCGACGACGAGTACGGAGGGTGCCAGCGGAGCGTTCGCATCGAACTGGAAGTGAGTCCTCCCCTCGCCCCCGCCCCCGCACCCTTCGTGTGAGAGACGTGATGCAGTTACGTGTGTGAGTGAGTCTGAGCGTGTGTCACTGTCCGGCAGAAACAACTCCATACCTCCTCGGTGGACGGTAACGCTGTAGTCGGCAACGGCCGGTGGGGGGAGGGGAACTAATTGCAATTGGCTGTTCCCCTGGACGCGTGTGGGTGGCTGGTAACCCCTCCACCTTAAATTGAATTGCCTCTAAACTACGTGGAAGCAATCTAAGCTTGGCCAAAGCCCACTTGGCAAAGCCAGGGGACTGAACCCGAACCCTCGGGGTTCCCCCAGAAATGGCAAAAAACACCGCTCCGAGTGGCCGCGTGGAATGTTCAAACGCTTGTTGCGGTGGAGAGACTGCCGCTCCTCTGTGGGAAGATGGACCGGTTCCCGCCCGGGCCTCTGTTGAATACAGGAAGTCCGGTGGAACCGTTTTAGCTCCAGCCATCTCGAGGGGTGGAGAGTCGGGCTGAACGATTTTGGGGAAAATTTCCAAATGCGATTCTTCTGACGATGATTTGCGATGTTGAACTGAAGTCAAGCTTCAGTTCAATATTCACAGTGTAATGGATTTTAAACACGTGATGGAGCATTACCCGCGTGATACCATCAAAATAGGAACTGCTCCACATATTCTAATGCAAGGATGAGAACTTAAAAGATATGAATTGCTTCCAACGTGCGTTTATAAAAAATGTTTTAAATTGAAATGGAACATATTCTTAGCTCTTTCGGTAAAGTCACGTGGAAGGGAAACAATAAAATAATAAAATATATATAAAACAATAAAAAAAATTCTCACGACGTTTTGACCATAACACAAACGGTCGTCATCATCACACCTGATGACGACCGTTTGTGTTATGGTCGAAACGTCGTGATAATTTTTTTATTGTTTTATATATATTTTATTATTTTATTGTTTCCCTTCAACGTGACTTTACCGAAAGAGCTAAGAATATGAATTACTGCAGTCACGAAAGCTTTAAATCAAAATTGAAATGGAACAATCAAACATAGAACAATTGTTAAGTTAAATAAATAAACAACGATGGGCAGAACATCGCAGCCTTTGCGATTTGCCAATTGCATTGTTTCAAATTGCGATTTCGATTTGAAATCGATTAATTGTTCAGCCCGAGTGGACAGTTCTGCACCTGAGGCAGGAAACTCCCAAACAACAGTGAGTGGGAGTTTTGAACAAAAGAATGAAGGTGTGGGAGCGAAAGCGGTAAGGTGTTGGAAGCTGTAAGCACCAGGCTGCTGTTTGGGCCCTCCTCCCCATCAACAATAGGTGAGGAATGGTGGTGGTGGTGGTTGCTTATGCCCTCACCCAAGATGAACATCAGTGGAGAGGGATGCAGACTAGAACTCCCAGCTAAAGTGGCCCCTCAGACTCGTCATCCTATTGGGTGACTAATGCATGAGTGGGTCATGTTGCTGACACCTGGGCTAGAATGATTGCTTGCCATTGGCTAGATCAGCTCAATAACAACGGTAGGAGGCTGATAGACTTCTGTGCTGCCCATTACCAACACACTGTTCTGGCATAAGCGCATCCACACAACATCATGGATGCACGCTGGGTCCAAGCAAGAACATCTGCTGGACTACATAGCGATGGAACAGCGGATGCGAGCCCATGTCCTTGACACCAGGACCTACCGTGGCGCTGATCTGCCCACTGACCATCAGCTTGTCATCTGTAAAATACGCCTGCCTTTCTACTCCAGTCTTGGGTGTTTGTCTAGGACCCCATTCAAACGCACAGTGGACTGGTCTCTGTTTGCTGATGAAAGTTGCAAGCGAGAATGTCATCATCGCTTGCAGCTGAGATTGGCATTGTCCCTCCCCCTCTCCCCTTGATGCCAAGAGGAAATGGGTGACATTCAGGACTGTGGCTCGTGCAGCTGCTGCTTGAGGCACGCAGTCCAAACCACCCCAAAGACCCTGGCTAATTGAGGAAATTTCCCAGCTGGATGAGAAAAAGCGACAGGCTCACTCCCACCGTCTACAGCAGGGGTCTCAAACTCAACTTACCTGGGGGCCGCTGGAGGTAAGAGTCTGGGTGATGCTGGGCCGCATCAAGTATTCCAAAAAAAAAGTACAACTGATCCAATCTGCTCAATCTTTATTAATAACAGTTCAGAACATGAACGGTTCTTCAGAACATAGGCTTCTCTTACCTACTCCTTGCTGCCAGAGACCTGGCGACGCTTCCTCCTCTTACGCAGCCGAGCCACATTTGGCTTGAGGGAGGAAGCATTTGAGAGCCTCAGTATGGCTTGAAGATGCTCATCGGTAAGTTTGGACCTGTACTTTGACTTATTAAAGTGCATGGTGCAGAAGAGCTTTTCACATTAATATATGTGCTCCCAAAAAGGCACATGGTCCGCTTGAACATCCTGGAAAGCCTAGGGAAGGTCAGGGGCAATTCTCTCAGAAATTGACCAAGCTTGTCTGCTTTTGCACTCACCTCCCTGAACCTGGCTTTGAGTTCAGAATTGCACTGCAGGTCAATTAGCTCCATTTGAAGCACAGGAGGGGCAGGCATCTTGCACATCGAAGGAGAAAGGGGTCAGCAAAAATTTGAAAAGTGGCTCTGTGTGTCTTGAAGTCTGCGAACCTGTGATCAAATTCCTCCTGTAGCTTTACAATGGCATCAGCATACTTCTCACCACTGAATGGTGTGCCCGCGTCCATGAGTGCCTTGCATGCTGGGAAATGGCAGAGGTTTGTCTGAGAGAGCTGGGCTATCCATAACACAAGTTTTGTGGAGAATGCTCTGACTTTGTCATAGGCAGCACTGACAAGCTGCCCCTGGCCTTGTAACTTCTTGTTCAGTACATTCAGCTCCTGTGTGATGTCAACAACAAAGGCTAAGTCCGTCCATGAGCCATTTGGGATCACTTAGCACAGGAACAGCCATCCCATACTTCTCCACGAAGGCTTTCACTTCTGCTCTCAACTCACAAAACCTCTTCAGGACGTTTCCCCTGCTGAGCCAACGTACCTCGGTGAAGTAGAGCACATCCTCATATGCTGACTATTTCCTCTAAAAAGGCACGGAACTGCTGGTGCTCTAAGCCCCTGGATCTGATATGGTTGATGCATTTCACAACGACAGACATCACATTGTCAAACTTCAGGCATTTGCTGCAAAGGGCCTGCTGATGGATAATGCAGTGCAGAGCAATGGCCTCCTCCACACCCTCCTCTTCCGGTTCTCTTTGAACAAGTGCCACCAGTCCATTTCTCGTTCCTGTCATTGACGGCGCTCTGTCGGTTGTTATTCCAGCAAACCTCTTCCACAACACCTGGCGGAATATCTCCTGAGCGGTGGTCTGGCCATGCATTGGATTCGCTGTGAGCAACTCTTCCGTCACTTCAACATTGCCGTCAACACCACGGACATGCATTGCGAGCTGCGCGGTGTCAGTGATGTCTGTGCTCTCATCAAGAGCGACTGAGCATGCACGGAAATGTTTGGCTTTCTCACGCAGTTGATCGCATATGTTACCCTGACAGGTCAGAAATGCGCTCTGCCACTGTGTTGGCTGAAAGGCTGATGTTGCTAAACTGACCCTTCTTTTCCGGACAGACTATACTTGCACTTCTTGATGAACTCGCCGTCTTTGAATGGCTTTGCCGCCTTAGCAATCATCTCACTCACTACGTAGCTAGCTTCGACTGCTGCATCACTCTCTTAGCTTGCTTTCTTGAAAAAATATTGTTGCCTCAGTAGACATGTTTTAAGATTGGCGACCCGGTCCTCTCTCTCTCTCATCTCCCTGGTATTTTTGCATACTCCTCAGTATGTCTAGTTAAGTAATGACGTCTGATGTTGCATTCCTTGTGCACCGCAACTTTCTCTGTGCATATAAGACACAATGTCGGGAGTGCCCCTGTGCTCAACAACAAAAAATATTCCGTCTCCCACTTTTCCTGAAATTGTCTGTGCTCGTCGCCAACCTTCCTCTTCAAGGCAGGTTTTGAGAGAGACATGACTGGGACTGGGTGATAAAAAAAAAACCAAAACACATTTAATAACAATAGAAAAAAAGTTAATAAAAGAAACTACCGTAATTTCCGGACTGTAAGCCACTACTTTTTTTACACGCTTTGAACACTGCGGCTTAAACAATGAAGTGGCTAATTTATGTTTTTTTTTTTACACAAGCTTCATGCCGCCAAAACATTTACTGTCAACAAACACCAGAAGCTGTCACGAGCCTGAGCTATGGTAAAAAATAATAATTCAAAAAATTTGATGTCAAGTAGGGGGCCACAAAATATTGTTCCGCGGGCCGCAATTGGCCCGCGGGCCGCGAGTTTGAGACCCCTGGTCTACAGCATTCCACGTCAGAGAATGAGGGGGCTTACCGCAGCCTTCGCTCGGAGGTTCGGAGAGCCGTGAGGCGCTGCAATGATGGGTGGTGGTCGCGGGTTGCTGAAGAAATGGAATCTGCCTCGGTAGCCCGCGATCACAAATCACTTTTTAACTCCATCAAAAAAAGTAACCTGCAGCGCCGCACTTATCACCATCGTAAGGGGAAAGAACGGTGATCCATCTCCAACCCCCCAGGAACAGGTTTTCAGGTTTGCTGAGCATTTCTGTGAGGTCTTGGGCGGAGGGGAAATGCCTCGGCCCAGAAAACATCGCGAGGCAAAGTGGGGGGTGAGCCCTGCTGAGACTGCGGTGCCTCAAATATTGGAAGTGACTGGCTGAAGCGCCATATGTTCAGGCAGTAGGGAAGGTGATCCAGCCTGAGACCAGACTCGATCACCTTCCCTACTTCTCGCAAGGAATCCTGTCTGCGTTTAACCGCGCGCGGTACACGTGGCGAACGCGCGGACAGACCCCTGGCCCTGATGATGATCGCGTTACGCGTCGTCCTGAAAACTGACCGGCCTACATCATGGCCTGGTCTCACTCGTGTTAGACCAGGGAATGCCACAAGCTGCCCCGTGGGGTTTAAAGCTGCTCACCCCGAGCTATAAAATGCTCTGCTACGTGCGTCGGCTTTGTACTGTGACCGCCTGTCGTCGTTGTCTTCTGCTCACAACGCTCGTGGCGAGGCATGGGAGGACGAGGCCACTGGCGGCGCTCTTGAACATCTTAACGCCCCTTGCAGTGCCAGAAAAGGGCTCTTATTTTGGCGTACGTTGGCACCGATGTGCTCGCGCCGACTCCGCCGGAAACGGGAGCCGGAGGGTGGGACGGACGCCACGAGGCGACGGCGGTACCGGAACGAGCGTCGTCGCCCACGCCCGGGGTCAAGTGGCAAGCGGAAACGCGAAACTGTAGTTGGCTTACCCTCCCCTGACACCCTCCCCTGACACCCACCCACCCCCCCCCCGCCGCCACAACGCCCCCGTAATCGGCGGTGCCCACGCTGTCGCTCGCAGGCCCAACTGGAGCAGCGAGAACAGCGCCGGGCTGACCGGCGTCCGGGCCGAGCGGGCGGCGCCGGCCACCATCGACATAGAACTCGGCGCCAGCGACGTCGGCGAGGATTCCGACAGCGACGACAACGACAGGCGGGTGGCGGAGGAGGACGAGGGGGGCACGCGGGAGCGAGCGGGCTACGCCAGCGACGCCAGCGACGCCAGCGACCCCAGCTACAGGCCGGGGAACGGCAAGAAGGCGGCGGCGGCGGCGGCGGCGGCGGCGGCGCCGGCGCAGAAGCAGTGGACGCTGCCGGGCCACTTGCCGTGCGAGCGCGACATGCTGCGGATGAAATTCGAGGAGAACCCGTGGCCCACGGAAGAGGTTGTCGCCTTCCTGTCGAACGTGCTCAGGATGACGCCCCTGCAGGTGCGCAAATCCTTCTCTTACCGCCGACAGCAGCAGCGGAAAAAGATGATGTTGGCCGAGCAGCAGCAGCAGCAGCAGCAGCAGGAGGAGGAGGAGGAGGAGGGGGCCGGCCGTGACAAGCGGCCGGCGCGTGACGCCAACCCCAGGCGCCGCCCGCCGGCGTCGGCGTCGCCCGGCGCGGCCAAGGGTCACCCGCCCGGCCAGGCCTCGGAGGCGCGCAAGCGCAGCCCCGCCCCGGCGGCGCCGGGCGACGTCGCCACGGCGATTGCGCGCGCCCTGCCGCTCATCTCGCTGAACGAGGCCTTCCTGCTGGAGCGGTCGCCCTCGGACGCGACGCTGCGGCGCCTCGTGGAGCAGACGGGCCTCCCCGCGCAGGACGTCGTCGACTTCTTCGAGCGCAAGCGCCGGCGCAGCAATGGCGCCGGCGGGGGGCCCGTGGCAGGCGGCCCGCCTCCGCCGGCGGCGGACTTCGCGCCCGAGCGGGGGGGACCCCCGGGCCACGTTTTGAGCCCCGGACAGTCGATCGAGCTCTCGGACGAGGGGGGCGGGCGTCGACTCCGGCGCCACCAACGGCGCCGGGGCCGGGAGCGTCATGGTCGTCATCGGCAGCATCGGCTGCGGCATCGGTGAGATCATGAGGAGGATGGGCGGCGCCGGCGGCGAGCGCTGAGCCGGCGGCGTCGCCGGTCGCGGCGCCGGCGTTCGCGGCGAGCCGGGCCGCCGTGTTCCTGGTGGCGGTGGTGGCACCCCTTGGCGGCCGCGTGGGTTGGCGGTGCGTTAGCTGGTGCTGCCGGCGGTGAGAAGACCGTCCCGTGCCGCAACATTCCCACAACGGTTCCCCGGGTTCCACCGAGCAATGGCACCGCTGTGCCCCTTTTCCCCCCTCCTCCACCTCCTCCTCCACCTCCTCCACCTCCTCCACCTCCACCTCACTCCTCGCCTCTGACCACGTCGTCGCGATCGCCCAGTTGGCGGGGAAAGGGCACGTGGCCGGACCATCGCTTGCCCCCAGCGGTTGATGCCTTGCCGGCGATGCACCCTTGAATTTTTTGGACGCTTCGACAACTTTTATTTAAAGCTTTCGTGACTGCAGGGATTGAATCACACCTGGATCTTGTTTTTATTCAAGATTTTGGAGATCTTTTTTGTGATCCCCGCAATGTTGGGTAAAGTGATTGTTTTGAATGGCTCCTCAAGAGGGTCCTTCTTCATAGTTGGAGTGATAGCTTTGCGGATTGTGTAGTCGGGAGTAACCATTAGCCTTAAGAGGTTGGTGTACGTGCTTGAGTTCACTGGCTATGTGTTCCTGGTCGGATATGCATTGGGCTCTATGGTGCAGAGTGTTGATGAGGGAATTCTTCTGGGATGGATGGTGGTGGGAATCCAGTTTCAGGTAACCATCCGTATGGGTATCTTTCCTGTAGACAGAGTGGCTCATTGAACCATCAGGTCTCTTTTTTTTATTAGGACATCCAAAAAAGATAGCTTGCCATCTTTTTCGACTTCCATGGTAAATCTGATGGCTGGGTGTATGGAATTGATGTGGTCGAGGAATTGGTCTTTACCGAAAGAACCAAGAATATAACAACACGTCGTGGTCATGGTCCGTCTGTGCAGGTAGCCCCCCCCACCCTTATTATATTGGTGGTGGTCCGTGGTGGTTGTAGTGGCGGCGGTGGTGGTGGTGTTCGTGGTGGTGTTTGGTGGTGGTGGTGGTGGTCTCCACCGCTACGTTTCCTTATTCATTATTTCCACTTGGCTCTCTTTCGTCTTGCAGTGCCGATGAAGCTCCAGCGATGAGCCACGGCCATCCCCATCGCCCCTCTTACTGGAAACCCATCCCTCCCTCGCTCCCTCCACTCCTTCCTGTCCCCTCCCTCTATATTCCTTGTGGTCACTCAAATCCTCAATCCTCACACTCATTCCCCAATCCTTACACTCATTCCCCAATCGACACACTCATTCATCCGACACTCATTCCTCCATCCATACACTCGTTCCCCAATCCTTTCACTCGTTCCCCAATCCTTTCACTCGTTCCCCAATCCTTACACTCCTTCATCCGACACTCATTCCTCCATCCATACATTCCTTCATCCGACACTCATTCCCCAAACCTTACACTCCTTCATCCTTACACTCGTTCCTCCATCCTTACACTCGTTCCTCCATCCTTTCACTCATTCCTCAATCCTTTCACTCGGAACGGAACAACAACAACAACAAATGTATACAACGGCGTGATTATTTGCAGAGGTGCAACGTCACAGAGCCCGCTCCCGCAGGTCCGTCATGGTGGGGTGGGGGAGCCCTTGGCGAGTGAATCGCCCGCTGCTAAAACCGGCACAAAGCTATGGGAGGGGAGGGGAGGGTAGGAGGGGAGGGATGGGAGGGAGGGAAGGAGGGGAGGGATGGGAGGGAGGGAAGGAGGGGGGAGGGAGGAGAGGGAGGGAGAAGAGGGGGAGATTACCCAGGGGGTGGTGGTTACGGGCCGGGGAAGTTTTGGTGGTTGTTGACGAGGGAGGTGAGATTTGTCTGCAGGAGAATAAACTGAAGTGACCATTTGTTCACTGTCTTGTACATACACCCCGTGCGCTGTTTGTTTTCTTGTGAAGGCAGTCCTCGGCTTACGGACTCCCCCCGGCTTACGGACGCCCCGCCGCTGTCTTTTGTGTTCTCTGCTTTCCCCCCCCCCGCTCCCCCGTCGTGTCTCAGAAGCGTAAGAGTGGTGAAAGTGGCGAGGGTGGTCATAAGCAGAGCTCCACTATTACGATGGAAACTAAAGTGGACGTGATAAAGCGTTGTGAACCAGTGGCATCTACAGAACGTGAAGAACCAGTGGCATCTACATCTGCTAGACGTGAAGAACCTGTGGCATCTACAGAACGTGAAGAACCAGTGGCATCTACATCTACAGAACGTTAAGAACCAGTGGCATCTACATCTACAGAACGTGAAGAACCAGTGGCATCTACATCTACAGAACGTGAAGGAGTTTCATCTTCAGAACGTGAAGAACCAGTGGCATCTACATCTGCAGAACGTGAAGAACGAGTGGCATCTGCATCTGCAGAACGTGAAGAACCAGTGGCATCTACATCTGCAGAACGTGAAGAACCAGTGGCATCTGCATCTGCAGAACCTGAAGAACAAGTGGCATTTACATCTACAGAACATGAAGAACCAGTGGCATCTACAGAACGTGAAGAACCAGTGGCATCTACATCTGCATAAAGTGAAGAACCAGTGGCATCTACATCTGCAGAACATGAAGAACCAGTGGTATCTACATTTGCAGAACATGAACCAGTGGCATCTACATTTGCAGAACGTGAAGAACCATTGGCATCTACAGAACGTGAAGAACCAGTGGCATATACAGAACATGAACCAGTGGTATCTGCATCTGCAGAACGTGAAGAACCAGTGGCATCTGCAGAACATGAAGAACCAGTGGCATCTGCATCTGCAGAACGTGAAGAACCAGTGGCATCTACATCTGCAGAACGTGAAGAACCAGTGGCATCTTCATCTGCAGAACGTGAAGAACCAGTGGCATCTACATCTGCAGAACCTGAAGAACCAGTGGTATCTACATTTGCAGAACATGAAGAACCAGTGGCATCTGCATCTGCAGAACGTGAAGAACCAGTGGCATCTACATCTGCAGAACGTGAAGAACCAGTGGCATCTTCATCTGCAGAACGTGAAGAACCAGTGGCATCTACATCTGCATAACGTGAAGAACCAGTGGCATCTGCATCTGCAGAACCTGAAGAACCAGTGGTATCTACATTTGCAGAACATGAAGAACCAGTGGCATCTACATTTGCAGAACGTGAAGAACCATTGGCATCTACATCTACAGAACGTGAAGAACCAGTGGCATCTACAGAACATGAAGAACCAGTGGTATCTGCATCTGCAGAACGTGAAGAACCAGTGGCATCTGCAGAACATGAAGAACCAGTGGCATCTGCAGAACGTGAAGAACCAGTGGTATCTACATCTACAGAACGTGAAGAACCAGTGGCATCTTCATCTGCAGAACGTGAAGAACCAGTGGCATCTACATCTACAGAACGTGAAGAACCAGTGGCATCTACATCTGCAGAACATGAAGAACCAGTGGCATCTGTAGAACATGAAGAACCAGTGGCATCTACATTTGCAGAACATGAAGAACCAGTGGCATCTTCATCTGCAGAACGTGAAGAACCAGTGGCATCTACATCTGCAGAATGTAAAGAACCAGTGGCATCTACAGAACGTGAAGAACCAGTGGCATCTACATCTGCAGAAAATGAAGAACCAGTTGCATCTACATATGCAGAACATGAAGAACCAGTGGCATCTACAGAACGTGAAGAACCAGTGGCATCTACATCTGCAAAACGTGAAGAACCAGTGGCATCTACATCTACAGAACGTGAAGAACCAGTGGCATCTACAGAACGTGAAGAACCAGTGGCATCTACATCTGCAGGAGATTATACAACTTGTAAAGCTATTATCCCTGTTTAGTGTACATGCCGTGCAGGAGTGCATTTGGACTTTCGAACAAATCAATTTACAAACAGACCTCTGGAACTCAGACAGTAGAGGAGTCCCTATACCCTGTCACAACGTGCCAGAGAATGTTGTACGCACGCTGCAGCTTTGGCCACGTGGTTTTTTTTGTTACCGGACGTCCCGTAGAGTAGCGAGTCGCAGCTTTTGCATGCCACTGGACAGTCACGGACACGGTCGGATCTTACAGTAGGCCCGTCACAATGTCGTTACCATACGTCCTGCGGAGTAACGGCAGTTGCCGTAATGGAGCCCTCTCCGTCGATACAACACACACACGCCACGCTCATCTCATGCGGTCACAGAGCCCCGATGTGACAACCACAGGACCCGATCGGTGTTTGTCGCTCCTTTTCCTCTACGTCCGCGGTTATTCTCAACCTTATATTCGCTGCCACTGTCTGACACCTCGTCCCTCTTGCTGTTGTGTATTTATCTGGAGTCTTCACAGTGGGCGAAGAGACGGGTAACTGCCTCGCCTGGTTATGCAGGAGGGGTATGGGTTTGATCCCGTGACCCTGACATTGTCCGCTGTATATTTGGGAGTCTTTCTATCTTTCTCATCATCATGACGGTGGCTAGCAGATGGTAACTGCCTCACCTGCTGTGCCTCACCTGCTGTGTATTTGGAGTCTGCGTGTTTCTCTTTCTGATCACAATGATGGTGGCAAGGAGATATTAACTACCTCACCTGCTATGCGGGAAGTCGTATTTTATCCTGACCACTCACGATGACTGGAATGTGTAATGTGCATATATATTTGTGATTACCGAGCTCCTCGTCCCATCGCCGAGAGGCGGCGAGTCCGGCAGACCCAGCGGGGAAACCTCATTTTTGCCCCTCTCGTACCCCGACGACGTCTCAAACTTTCGGTCGATACCCAAAGCGCGTGGCCACGGGCTCGAGGTGGCAACGTAGACCGGGAGCTTTGCTCGGGAAGCCAGCTGTCCCGCTTCACTGCCACGGGAAGGGGGTCAGGGTCATGGGCGCCCGCGTCACTGCGGACGCCGCGCCGATCCGCCGGCCGGTCTCCCGCTCCCGCCGAGGGCCGAGATTGCAGACCGACCGACCGACCGACCGCGGGAGTGGGCGGGGGGGAAGAGAGCCAAGAGGAAAACGTCGTCATCCCTCCAAACACAAAATGAGCGACGCCAACTCCGTGCCACCCCCGTGAGACTCTCCGTCTGCGGCCTCGATGTCGCGTCCGTGATTTTGACGGGCGGGACTGCCGGTCTGCACCTTGGCGCAGACCGGCAGTCCCGCGCAGGAGAGGAGGACGGCTTTTATTTACAGCGGTACCTCGGTGTGCGTCGTTAGTCCGTTCCAGAAGGGGAAGGACTCGTACCCACAGTGACGAATGCCAAACGATAATTTTCCCATAAGAAATCAAGGGAAAGGAGAAAATCCGTTCGGGAGTATAAGAAATAATATTTTATATGGCATATTATACATTAATGGGGTTGTGTAAAATAATTTAGACACTGCTTATTACTAAAATGCATACATACATTAAAATGAGTTATAGCAAGGGTCGTGCACTGAACGAGATCTACAGGCAGGCTGAGGAGCGGCGCTTTGTCTCAATCGTGAACGGGGTCTACGCGGTGACTCATCG